AGAGTGTGTGTGTGTGTGTATATGTATGTGTGTGTGTGTGTATATATATATATATATATATATATATATTTTTTTTTTTTTACAGGATATAAAGGACGTCCTATTGACAGATAAAAACTGACATTTATTTTCAAATGTAGGGGACATGAATCCTGTAATATTTTATCACTATAACCTTATACTGAAGGCATCAAATAATTGTTGGAGCTACAGAGAACAGGCTTTGCACACATGGCCTGTTCACAAGAACAAAGCAAACAGATCAGCATACACACAGCTTGATATGGGTATATGGCTAAACACAGCTAGTATGTCTGATTTTAGACCTAAACATTGTCTTTTTAAACCTAAAATATTGTAGTTTGGGATTATCATTAAAATACATCTTTAAACAGAGGTTCAAAGTTTCATTTTTGTAATACAAAAGAAGAAATAATTTATATACAAATAAACCCATCTCTGTAGACTTTCAGATTAAGATATGTACATTATCCAAAATCGTTAAACAATATTGAGACTCTAACAACTAATCCGTTGTTCTATAGTGAGGAACTGCTTCTAAAAGGTAAGTGGAAGACTACATATAAGAAATTGAAGCTTATCAAAAAAAGTGAAATGCTTTCACAGATTTTTGATGCTGGGAAAAAACTTAAATATGGAAAAGCATGTGGTGGCCCCTAGTGGTTGTTTCTCCAATATCTCAAATTCATCACATGCTTCAGGATTACAAACCGTCTGACTCAGACACACCCAAATGCCAGTTTTAAACGTAGCAGCTGGTGAGGTGATTTACAGCAAGACAAGCTAGGGAATGATAGAGTCAATATAGGTGGGAAAGGAGTTTACCTAGCCTTTCCTCCAGACAGCCAAACCCTTACTCCTCAGTGCTTTACTATAGATGCAGCATTGCTGTGTCTGTAGCAATCCCATTAGGTAAATAGAATTCAATCCCCTTACTAGTGGTGCTTTTTCTTGAATGAATTCTGCAGTGCATCGTTTTAAGCTACTGTTGCATACCACATCAGCCTAGGGGCTGCCAGAGGGTGAAAAGGGCAGGGAAATGTAACAGCAGCAGTCTCCTACAAGCACCACTGGAATAGCTGGGGCAAGTGTAGGATTTTTAAAAGGGGAGGAAGGCATTTATCTCCTCACACAAGGGGAACTTGGGCATGCATAGTACTATACCAATACAGCATGTCCCAATAAGCTATGCCTCTTAAGCTCCTGACATATTAATTTAAAGCAGACCAACAATTTTGAGACCGGGGATCAGATTCCAATTATTCCACTGTTGCCAGTGCAGGGCAAGCCTGAGATCATGACCCCCAACAAGCTGGGTGCCTGTCAATCAGCCGACTGTCAGCTTAGCCAGGGACCAAACCTAGGTGAGGAACTAGTGCTGGTGAGGTCCCTGCTTGGCTGACAATCACTTGATTGTCGGTTGGATCCAGTGACCGCACCATGGTCTCAAACTGGCCTCAGTGCAGTCCTGGACCCAGCTGGCCAGTTGCTCAGTATGGGGTTTAAGGTCCCCAGGTTAGGAAGCCATGGAGTGCCTTGGTCGGGCACTTTAACTCCTGTGCCAAGCCAAGCAGCTCTAGAATCCTCTACTTCCCCAGGCTGCTCAGCACAGGGTTTAAAATCCCAGGCAGGGGAAGCCCTTTGTCTTTCCCATACTGGGCCTCTGGTGGGACCAAAAAATTAATGATTCTCAGCTACTGGCCAAACCTTAAATTTAGGGCACCACACAAAACACTCATTTTATAGTGCCTTAAATTGGGTGCAAGTGTATCGTCTTCTTATTTATGCCACTATGAACTTGTTAATTGCCGCATAAATATAATGTGCAGAGGGGACCTTAGAGCAGGGATTAGCATGTGCAGAGGAGCCACAGCATCTTTCAGCATGGCATACCTGAGAGATCTTTTCAGAGTCCAGCACTCTATAAAAAATAGCTGGCTTGAAGAAAATTGTATAACCCCCAGAATGGAATAAAATAAATCGGGGCAGGGGCATCAAGCATATGGACCACAGAGATTTGTTATCCACCCTCCAGAACTCTTGGAGGGCCTGGGAATTTTAGTGCGGTGGAGGGATGGTGCCACCACTACATTCTGGGGATGCATTTCAGTAGCAGTGGCGTGAATGGCAGTTGTATTAAGCCCTAGGCCTCCTTGAGGTAACACAACAGTGACAGCTCACCTACTGCCAGAGGTAGGCCTGGATGCAGCCTGCAAGGAGCTCTGTAATCCAGATGCAGGCCAGGAGCCAACAACTCTGACCCCACTACTTAGGGTAACTTCTGAAGGACTTCAAAATAACGTTCAAGGTAGGGATTAGTTAAATGCAAGCTGTTTCATGCATCAGCAGTTAGGACCTATGATTTGTTGCTGACAATGCAGAATCCAATTCGTCCCATATTTAGAAGCTGAGTTCAAGTCAAATGAAGTAGTGATGTTCATCCCTTACAGATTCAGATTATATCTAAACTTCCCTTCAGAGCTTTTTCAGACAGTGCAAACTCATAGGGGAAAAACCTAGTTGATTCAATTCAGAGCTAAATCTACTACATAAGCAATTTAAACATTTTTTCACTTCTGGCTTGAAGTACAAGCTGAGGAGGCAGCACACAAAGTGTCTGCTACAGACAGATATTAGGCAACCTGTTCCATAAAATCAAAATTTAATGTACATTTTTCTAATTTTTTAAACCTCAATTTTCCAGTTTCATGATTAGATGTAATGGAATTCTTCTCTCCAAGTCTAAAGCTACACCATTTTGTTTTTTCAAACCAATGTGTTATTGTTATTTCCCTAGAAGTTGACTTGGCACATTTCTGTGTACATGGCCCTGTAACAGACTTAGTACTGTAAACAGATGAATGCCTGCCAGCAAGTCTAAAATGGGAGGTGGTGTGAAGCAAAGACATCAACTTAGGTTATCTGACAACTCTTAGGCTATTTATAATTCACAAAAAGCACGTCAGAATAATTTTACAATGGCACCTGGACTAAATACTTAAGCACAGACCAAATTTTGTACAAATGTACAGAATAAAAAGTTTTTTTTGCAACCAAACTGGAAAATAAAAAGATACAGAATAAATATAAAGATTAAATATTTTTTATTACTTCATTGGGTATTAAAGCAGTTTCCTATACCCACAATTTATAATTACAAATATTCTGTTTCAATGAATTTAAGATTGCTCATAAGGGCTTCTATTTATAAAAAAGCAGTCTAGCAGTTGTGTCAAACTGAAAACATACTCAACTAAAAAGTTCATTTAAAATGTTGATTTAAGTAAGTTTTTCTGGGGCAGGGTTATACCATTACAAAACAAAAATATGCAAACATGAACTGAATATTAAACTGGTAATATAATAAACGGGCAAGGCCTCACACTTAAAGCTAAGACAGACAGGTGTGGAAGTAACCTTAAGTAACGATAGTTCAAGGGTAACCAATGACACCAACAATTCTGTTGAAAAACAAAACAGACAAAGACCCCCCATTGTCACTTTTAAATATATTTTTCATCAAAAAATATATGCTGTAAACAGAACCATTTCCCAATTAGAGATGGAACCAAAGTAAAAGAGTTAGAGTAAAGGAATGTTTGTTGCAACTTCATTAGTTTAAACAGATTTGCTCTTGGTGGAGCCTTTCAGTTACCTTCTAAATTAAATCACATCGCACATTAAGAAAAGATGCTATCTAAAAATTGTAGACAAAGTGAGTTTTCAAAAAGGGTCAAATATCACACCAATGCTCTCAGATATGCAGACTGTATAAGCGCAATTATTACAAGTTAACTCAATTAACTTATTCAAATAGTGCTAGGCAAATCACTCCTCTAAAATAAACATTCTCTCTTCTAATTTTCAAGAGCTAAAGCTATACCTTGGAAAGGTATTTTTCCTCACAAGAAATTTCTAGCCAACATAGACAATAAGACTCTGCAACATTTCAACTCAGTTAGATTTTGTTTTAATGACACGGGCATTTCTTAAATCAAACATCATAGCTGTTACCTACAAAATAATGCATGTTTCATTTTGGTGGTCACACAAATCCAAGTTGAGCTGTAAATAGGAATCAAAGTAGTATGCTGCAGTGTTAAAATATCTAAAAAATAGATATTAAATGTTTTACTTCAACTTTGTGATACTTCTTAGAGATCTTGGAAAATGTGGTATTTCTGGAACAGCATCTCTCACCAAAATTATAAAAACTGGCAGGTAGAATTCATCGTCTCAGTGATCCTCAGTAGGTAGAATTTTGATTCAGTAGACAGAAGTCACCGACTAATATCTCATCACACTAAAGGTTTAAAAAAAGTGTTCAACGTTGTTCAAAAAGTGTTGTGGCCCCCTAAATATTTGAAGGCAAACTTCCTTAGTCAAAATAGTTTCAAAAAGAGTTTCACAAAACAATACGACAGCAATAATCAAAAAGCATGAATTGTATTTCTGCATCAGTGAAATCTCTAGCACTGAAGGGCTTTTCAGAGTAAAAAGCAGATTCTTTGGGGACATTAGTCAATTAACTTAATAAAACTCAGTTTTACAAGGATTTGTCCTTCCTGTTACGAGGTGAGTCTGCTCCATTTGAGGTTACTGTTCCATTTACTCCATTTTCTAGGAACAAAAAACAAACAAACCACACATTGATTTATTTTTCAATCAGAACAACACACTTCACAATTTCATTACTTTAAGTAGTTTTTAACCAAAACATGCAGTCTTAATAATTTTATTCTTCCAAATATTACTCTGCTAAATGCTTTCTTTATTAAGACTTTCATAATGCAGCAAATGTGAGCATTTAAAAAAAAGTGTAAAGACTGACATTTATTCTCAAAATTAGTATCCCAGACTGCTTAAGATAACCAGGAGGTGATTTTTTACCGTGTAAATTAGATTAAGGTTAAAATCCAAATTCAACTAAGTTGTAGAAAGATATAGTCCTTTATAGCAAAGTAAAATACCCAACTCCCTTACATGGCAGTGACACACGAGAAGAGTAAAACCATAAAATACAACAGTGGTTCTCAACCTTCTTCAGACTCAAGGAACCCCTCAGAAAGTGCCAGCTCTTAGCTTTCACTCATTCATTGACTACAGGAAAATAATAGAGCAAGTCTATCGCAAAGAACTCAGAAGGTTTGCAATGCTTTGGATGCCTACTTGAACACTGGGTTCATCTTTCAGATCATGTGCATTTGTTTGCACACCTGTCAGTCCCAACACTGTGTGGCACCTGCACCATTCAAAAGGTCTTACACCTGCAGACATTGGTTGAGAATCGCTGCAATATATGATAAACACAGTAACTTTTACTTCCTGGTCTACAATCTGCTGACAACTTACCGTGCACCAGGATTTCCTTCCTTCCTCCCTCCCTCTTTTAAAGCATGCAGCCTGATGCATAAAAATCTTTCTTTCAGAACATTCACGTGTTCCACAGTAGTCCAGCTTGGTGCATGTGTGAGAGAGTACACACAAGACAGACCATATATACCACCTTTGTCTTTCCTTCTCCCAGTGTTTCAGAGGACACCATGAACTGCTTCAGCCACTGATGCAGTCTCATGGTATCTATACTGTTTTCAGGATTTCTAAGTTAGTTTGTAATGGTAGTCCCTTCATAATGTAAGATACTGCTTACAAAAGCTTACATCTCTCTGATTTAGTCCAAGGTGCAACTTCACTCTGCCTTCTGCTTGCAGTGGCATTTAAGGGCCACTACATGGCACAGGGTAAC